AGTGGTGACCAAATGAAGTGACTGAAATCATTGTGTAATGAAATTTGATAACAGTGGTGACAAGGGAAGTGACTGAAATCATTGTGTAATGAAATTTGATAACAGTGGTGACCAAATGAAGTGACTGAAATCATTGTGTAATGAAATTTGATAACAGTGGTGACAAGGGAAGTGACTGAAATCACTGTGTAATGACAGTTGTGACGAAGTGAAGTGACAGAAGTTACTGTTTAATGAAATTTGATAATAGTGGTGACCAAGTGAAGTGACAGAAGTTACTGTTTAATGAACTTTGATAATAGTGGTGACCAAGGGAAGTGACTGAAGTCACTGTCAAACTTTTTGAAGAATACGAGTGCGATGCCTTGTTGCCTTGAAATATCACTTGTACATTAGTTTAGAAATACACCATTGTGGGATTGGCGTGATTAGCAGAAACAATCAGGCCAAGTCTGTATGTTATTAAAGAAGAAAAAGATTTAACCACCGTCATGTAAATATTCACCCTAACTTTTCGTCACCTCCAAAGGATTGAGTTTCAGAGCAAGTGACTTGTGTGGTTCTCTGTATTTTTGTTTTACCGTCAGCACAGAATAGATGGAAACACAACAATCAGATTCTCCATATTTCCACAGTTTATACCCGAAGCCCTGCTTTCTTGAGAACATTCGGGAAAGGCAGTTCCTAAACGGTTGTCAGCTGTTATATGAAAGTTTCTGTAGTTTCCTTCGCTCTATGTGGTTCGATATCCCTGATTCAATCAACTAAGATATAATCTGACCACTAACTGCACTTTACCAACCTGCCCATTTATCTTTATTTTTGGTCAGCCATTTTGTTTTAATAAAAAACGTATTTCCTTTCGATTGCCACTATTTAAAGATTTTAGAGCAGATGTCTTTGAACAGCCACTCAAAGCAGTGGTCTTTAAAGTATCACTCCTATTATAGGGGCATCCATTATTATACGCTCTTTTCAATTTTAATGAAATCTTGCTCTTACCCATTGCATTACATACTAATCAAGATATGATTACGTCTATGCATTGGACAGACTCAATCTCTCACTTGAGATATCAAATGATTCGGCTACTTTTCATAAGCGAATCACTAACTTTTTTATGTAAAAACACACAAACGATAGTACTAATTGCGAGATTATCTGTAATATTGATGACAGTTTTGTTTTATTTGTGTGATGTGTGATTCATAGATTATTTGGACCCTGTAAACACATGATAACATACACAAATTGTTCTTTTCTTCAACATTCAAGATTTCAACTGTTATTATACCACCCCCGAAATAAAACCTACTAAATTACGACCGCACAAAGACGTGCCTTTGGTGATGGGTATAATTAAAACTAGTTCAGATCCTATAAACCCTACAATCAATCATGGTCTCCTCCCTCGTTTTGAGGGTCGACTACAAAGGTTCCCAATTGCTCTCTATTCCTCGCTGCTTGCATCAACTTTCCCAATTTAAACTTCTCATCTGCAATCCATTTTCTAATGTCATCGAGTCAAGCGAATCTCCCCCTGCCTCTCGCTCTTCTTTCTTTAACTTTAGTCATTAGAATGTCTGCCAATCTTCCCTCAGATCACCAGATTCTATAATCAGGGTTAGCTTTGGGATTTTGTTCTGCGTCTCTACATTCTGCTAGTGTTTCTGTTTTTGGTGGAAGTGGAATTTTAAAACTGAACGACACCTTATACTCACATAGGTTAAACGACCGGGTCAGAGACCGCTAGGATTCAGGTATAACTGTCTCTAATTTTGAGTAGTACTTAAGAGAAGACGAGAAACTGGCAGTACTCGTCGCTACAAGGGAATCGTCCTGCTCTTGGAACCAAAAACAGTATTAATTGTCACTTTTATAAAGCAACCACGAAGACATCAGGTCTTAATCGCCAGAACCTTCGCTCAGCAGCCCAACATGCTAATCACTAGGCCACGCTTGGCCTATGTACCTATCAAAGTTACAGGCAAAATATACGTTTTCAGAATTCCACTTCTAAAATTTATAACAAATAGTCACTATAGGGTATTATAAATAAAACTTTCTCAGAGCTTGACTCTGATTTGTTTGTTTGTTTGTTTG